AAAATTAAATTTAAATTTTGCCTGCATATTTTAAATATTAAAATATAGAAACAAAATATAAATAAATTTTACACATTATATTATATTAATATTAATTCTCATTCATTTCATTTCTTACACACAGAATTTACTATGCCTCTGCCCACTGTCCGTCTACATATAATATCGTATATCGTATATTGTGCATCGTATACCGTATGATCGTTAAATGTTGCTGCTGTCGCTGCTGCTGTTGCTGCTGCGCAGTCGACAAGCACAGGTGAGTTTAGTTGAGTTTCGCGTACACGACAACTGATTCAAATATCTTCATAAATAAATAACCAATTACGGATATAAATGTATAAAGGTTATGTAAATACACATTTAATTGCTTTTGCATGGATTATCACTCTTTGAGTGCAAATAAATTTAAAACCGTTTCAAATCCAGTGCATATTGGATTGGACGACTCATTCACTTTATTGGTGTTAACTCTAAAACAGTTTAAATTAATTAAACAAAGGCGGTTTGTTAATTGAGTAACTCGGCCCAAATGTACACATGGTATGCCAATTAAAAGGTTCTTTGTCAGTTTTGTTTCCAGTTTCGCTGAGTGTACTTACCTTTTGTTGTTATTCTTGTTGTGTTGTGGTTTTATTTTTGCTGGACGATTAAAGCTGACGACGATGTTTTAGCTTTGCCCAGCACCGAAATTCGTTGCAGTCTTTTGTAGTATTCCTCGGGAGAGAAACAGACCTAATTAGTCTTTCATCTCTTTTTCGCGTTTCAGCATTCTTCGTAAACAAAATAAAAGCCATCCGCTTCTACCTCAAACCTCTTTCTAACTAACTTTGTACAGTTTTCTTTTCATTTTATGCTTATTCATGTTCTTTTGCCGCATTTATTCTCTGTTTTCTTTTGCAAGCTTTTGGAAGAACTCGTTTGCGCTTGGTTCGGTGTAGCATGATGGCATTATTTTCTTACTCAAATAATTTGGCAATCATTTAAAATATGATGACACATCGGGTTGGATGGATGTGGGTTCTTTGATTTATAAATACATACGTATTCAACTGTATTTGTCTATACACAACTATGCTTTTTTGAATGTGTGTCACAGTTTATCCAAACATAATTCATGTTTATTTCTAGCTATTGTCTTCAATTTCATGGAAATATAATCAATAGGGGCTGAGCAAGAATTAGCGAAGCACTTGGTAAACGAATATGAAACCTTTGAGAGAGTGCGAAAAAACAGAGTGTAACGAAAGTAGCAAAGATTTGTGTCTGCATACATACATTCATACATGTACATATGTACATATGCATGTGTACGTTTGTGTGTATGTGTGCTAGTCTGTCTACCTATGTGCACTGTGCCTCGGTAGTTGGCTTAGTTTATGCATATGTCATTGGCCTCTATACCCTAACTCTAACATTGAGCATATTATGTTTATTATAAAATTGCACAATAATTTTTGTCTTATCTTTAACTTTCATATAGTCGATCAAAATAACTTAGAATCTTTTCCTATCATTAAGTTCATTTATTTTTTATTAATTTTTATTTTTTATTATTTTTTATTTCTCTATATTACAAATGAGTGACAACTGAAGAGAAAATTTAGTTTCTTATATCGTGTGAATTATTTAGGCATTATTTATATTTTTGTTTTATCTTTAACAAATTTTTTTATTCAATTCTTAAAATGCTGTAAAATGTTAATACTCATTAAATTTAATTATTATTTATCAGTCAATTTAATTGTATTAATCAATATTTTTTGGCAATTTTTGTTAA